AAATGTCAGAGGTCCCTTTGTGACAAACTGAGAGAAGTGAGAAATAAATTTCTGTTCCTCATAGTGAGAGTTCTTTCTTCCTGTACACATATAAGAATAAGATTATCCGTCTGTCTGTGATCAGTACACATTATGCCCTACTTTGTTTTCTTCAGTCTGTCTTACAATAACACAGCAGGACCAAAATAGTCTAAAAAAAATAAACAGGTGTTCTTTAGTGCACGGTTCCACCAATTTGAATTGACCTCTAGCTGATTAATTAAACTACCAATTAAAACATGCAGTCTAAATCAATTTGCTTTGAAAACAAATAGGGGAGGACATCACATCCAAAGGAACAGGATCAGATGCTGTGTGGTTTGATTAAAACATTTAACTATTCTGACTCAAGCATATAAATAAACTGCTGCTCACTCCCATTTTTGCACTTTCCCATTTGGCATGCCTTCCCTTCTACCACAATGTGTGGCAGCTTGGCTTGACTTGTCTATGACTCCATCTATTTAAAATTAACATAATTAACTATACTGACAGTGCAGACAAGGATACACTTGTAGTCATGTTTGTATACACATTAACAACTTTCCTGGTCATGCAGATCAGTTTCCAATTTGAATGGTAGCAGAAATTCAGTTACCCTCTGTTTGGTTGGACTCCGTGGGCAATCAAGATATTGTAATTCCACAATGCTTTATAGAAGATTGGCAGCAGTTCAATTTGCAGCAGAATAGCAGATGTAATTATAACATGAATAATCTGGCACCCACTGTCATTCTGAATATTCATTATACAATCAGTCTTGTAGGAAATGTGTGTTCTTGAATCCCCATAATATTCAAAAAGGATTTTACTTTCAAAATTTTATTTTGAGTGACCAATCTTTCTCAGTTGATCAACTCTGCTGACACTCTGGTCGGTATTTAAAATCTTGGCACCATCTCCCTACCGAACAAATGATCCTACAGGCAATATCCTCCACTTGATTCAAAGGGCATGCTCAGAAAACATGGGCCTAGTAACCTTGGTTTACTGGCCATTAATTATCTGCTTTCCTATCTACTCTGGCTTGCAGGAGGAGATGCAAAATGGGTTACCGTGTTTTTGGTCTTGCTCTTCCCCACAAAACCAAGATACAAACCTAAAAGAAACTGTGGATGTTTTTTCTGGTCTATTGGGAGAGAAACAAACCAGATATATCAGTGTTAGCATTTGGGAAATGCAGTAGATGTGTGGGAAAGCTCCATGGTTATTTAGCCATTCCTGTTACAAGCAGGAGTGGCTGTGCAGTGTGCACCAGCAGGGGATTCTATGGTCCCCAGCTGCACCCATTCCTGGAGAGGCCTGACTTGGCCACAGTAATACATGCCTTAGTTACATTCTCTGGATTTCCATAACATGCTCTACAGGGGACTGCCTTTGGAAAGTGCTTGGAAACGTCATTAGGTCCAAAATGCTGCAGTCAGACTGTTAACTGGGACTAGTTACAGGGAACATATAATTCTCCAGTTACAGCAGATCTACTCTAATTGTTCTGGGGACAATTCAAAGTGTGGTTTTAAAGCCCTAAACAACTTTGGTCCAAGCTATCTCAAGGACTGTGTCTTCCTTTATGAACCTGCCCAGGTGTTAAGATAATCAGGGGAGGCTTTTCTCTCCGTCCCACCACCTCCACAGGCATGTTTGACGGGGACACTGAAGAGGACTGTCTCTGTTACTGCTCTAGACTCTGGAATTCTCTCCCAGAGGAGGACAGGCTGGCCTCATTTTTGCTATCTTTCCACAAGCATATGAAGAACAACTTTTATTAGTCATACTTCCCCCCGATTCCCCTCTCTCACACCCTCCGGTCTCATAGGGCTGAAGTAAAGTCTCTAAACCTTTCTCTTCAGGCAGGCTTCCCCAGTGATTGGCTGAGACTGTTTTTTTTTTAAATGGAAGTGTTGTGTCTTGTTGCTTTGAATGTGCTTTTGTTGTTGGCTGGGTAAAAGTATTTTAAAATAAAATAAATAAAATATTGTGTGGCACAGCTGTAATAACAGACTTGGGTGCTCCCGGCTGCACCTTTTATTGCCCCAGAAATCACCACAAATTCCCCTAATCAGAATTCTGAGGGCTTTAGCCAAGAAATCAAAGTTTTCAATTCATTACAGTGCACTTTGCCTCCTGAGTTGCCAGTGGATCTGGGGGTCTGCCATGAATAACTCGGCTCCACCTCAGCTTCTTGGCTCAGAACAGCTTTTATTAGTGGCACAGCATTACTTCCCCTGACTTTCCCCCTACAGTCTCATGGGGGTGAATTACCATTTCTAAATCTTTCGGCACTAGAGGCCAACTTGGGGACCCAGTTAATTTCAGTGGAGTTCCCCATAGTCCAGGTTCTGGAAAGCAGGAAAGAGAGGACAGCTTAGATCCAGGAAACACTCCGTTAAGGGAAGGCTTGTATAGATGAGCGAAAGAAGTCAGGATCTGCAGCTCATCTCTACCCATCCCCTCCCTCGACGCGCCTGTCACTTTGCTTCTCCAGGGCTATGGTGGTGTCTAGGCAAATGTAGCCTCGTCCAAGCATGTGGCTGGAGTTTCTGTCCGATCCCTTTCACAAGCAGGCAAACCGGGTGCGGACAGACAGCTTCCAGTGTTCTCTGTTGCATCCTCTCACACATCCTCTTTGGAGATAGGCAACAACCCTGTGCATTCTCATCCCTGCTATTTCATTCTCTCTCAATCTGCTTCCTCCAGCTGCCTATCATCACAGAAATGTCTCCCTTTAGCTGTGTTGGCCTAATCCCGAGGAAACCTCCCCTCTCATTGGCCTGATCCTGAGAAAACCTCCTATGCTCCTGGCTGCCTGGTACTTATGTGCTAGGAACAGACAGCTCACTAGAGGTTCATGCTTGGTTGGGGGAATGAAGGTGCTGTCAGCCATTTTTGTCCAGTGATGAATGCAGTGGACTTGGATCAAAGTGGCCAAGCTCAAAGGGATTAGTAGAATCCCACTATCAAAATCCACCTCATAAAATGAAAACAATCAAATGAAGATTCTATAATTTCCATAGCAAATCAGACTTTTCACTGTTTCTCTTTCCAAATATATAACATAAAACAAGTAACAAATATTGCATTTTGTTAACATCTATCATCATTGGCCTCAACTCTGCCAGGTTTCTCCGTGAAGAGCAAATGTTACTTCTGAGGCCTTGTTTTCTCAGTTCCATGTACCATTGCCCTCTTTCCTAAACAGTTGAATCATGAACTTTTAGTTCCTCGTTTTCCCACTTAATATTTTGCAAGATTGGTGGTAGTGGAATGGATAGTAATATATATTAACATTCATCCCCCACCCAAGTTCAAGTGAGTATGATTTGAAAGCAACTGAATGTATTCAACAACAACAAAAAGGATACAGTAAGGATTGTCAGATCTGAGAATTAGACACAAATACATCATAAGGATTATCTTCTGCCAAATGGAAATTAAACATCCTAGCCAATAAGGATGGAAAGTAAGTTACATAGGATTGCCTTTGGACAGTGCTCGGAAACCTCAGCAGGTCCAAAATGATATAAGGATCACTTAATCACTCTTTTACGATGGCTCAGATTGCTTGGGTTGAAGCTATCTCAAGGTCCACATCTGAGACTGCCTGGGTGTTAGGGATCATCTGGGAGCGAGAGGCCTTTCTCTCGCTCCCACCACCCTCACAGGTGCGCTTGGTGGGGACATGGGAGAGGGCCTTCTCTGTTGCTGCTCTGGAACTCTCTTTTTCTGGAGGCCAGGTTGGCCCCATCTTTGTTGTCCTTCTACAAGCAGCTGAAGACCTTTTTTTTCCAGGCAGGCTTTTACCTACTGACTGACTATCTAGGAGACATTAAAGGGAATGGTTTATTTTGTGCTTGCCACACTATTTTGTTGCTTCTAAATCTGTTTATCCTAACATCTTTACCTAACATTTTAAATATACTGTAATGTTATTAATTCTTCAATATTTGAATAGTTCATTGTGAAATGCTTTCACATTTGAGTGGAACGAGAGGAAAGAGTGGTACTGTCAAAAATTAGCAGTGTGCAAGTTTTACACAAAAAGAAATCCCACTCAGTTCAGTGATACTCCTAAATATCTGGCAGAGGAATGAAAAATAAATCCTACTGACTTCAATGAGAATTACTCCTAGGTGTAAAGCTTGGGATTCCATCTGAGACAGGGCACAAAGAGAGTGTATGACTGAGCTAAGTGTGAAACAGGAATAGGCATTTTTTTGCCCCAAAGGACCGAATGCAGCATGTTCGGCTAGGGACTCTATGGTGACCATGGAAATGGCATAAAGAAGGGCAGCCTGCCTCAAACACCTTTCCCTCTAGTACTGGAATGCAAACTTTATTCTTCTTTCTGCCCATCATGTGGCTCTGCTGCTACAAAGCTTCCTTACTGGCTGTGCCCCTTCCATTTGGGAAGCTTATTACTGGGTAAGGCTAACCTACTATCTGTACTAGGCTCACTGCTTGGCTAGTTGTATGCCCCTCTGCTATCTTTACCAAGTACTTGCCACGCTATGAAGCTGGGTGGATCAGAGTGACAATGATTAATATTGATGCATCTTGATATATGTTGATAATACTCATATATTAAATAGCTGGGCACAGCAAAGGATTCTAGGACATGTCCTGGGACTTACGGGTCTGGTTGGGCCTCATTCCCACCCAATGTGAACTTAAAACACATCCAATATTCCTGCCGCCCCATGTCCGTACAACTGTGAGGCAAGACCAGCCCTGGGGGAGTTGTCTTTTGGAGCTGCTTGCATGGCCATGACTCATCTACTAATGGAGGAAGCTCTAGTAAGTTACAAGGATCCCTAGCATTCATTCTTTGAAAATCATTGTCCTGGATTATAATACATATTACTCTCTAAACAGGAAAAAAAAATGCAGACAAAATGCAGAAGCCAGTACTGGGATATGCCAAATCAAAACTGAATCACATTTGCAAGAGACTAAAAGATGTGTTCATGTGTTAATAATATTTACTCAGAAAAAGAAAAAGCACAATACAACAATGACAACTGGACATAAATAACTCAATACAATCAAAGCATTGATTAGGAAGTTTTATGTCTCACTATCCAGTTCTGTATATAGGATCATACAGATGCTATGAAAACAGGTATTACTGCACTCATAGGTTCTGGAAAAGAGGATAAAGAATGCATTATTCTTAAAGGATGCTTTACTAGGATTTTAATTAAAGCCTGTATGACTGTATTATTGTATAACAATCCACAAATTTGAACAAGACAGATGGGTACATGTAAACAATACGCAGACATTTGGGATTATGTAATCCAGATGAGAGTACCAGTATATCGCTCAGAAAAAATGGGCTTTAATCGCAAGGGACATAGGGCAATACATGGTCACATAACATTAAAACCTTGCCCTTTAATTCCATCCACTTTTATCTAGATAGGTTTTTAAGATATTTCTGTTTTATTTCTACTGACAGGATAATAAATTGTATGAGGTACCTATTCAAAGCCAGAAAAGAGGACTACAGTACCACAGCTACTGTAAAGCCTGTGGGGAATGCATAGGGACATTGACATCCAACTGAGATATTTTATAATGATCTCATAATAAAGAAAATGTCAGTAAACACCACAGCCCTCCATGACACAGAATACATGTTTTGCTCCTTTATTGCAGCTGTCTCCTTCATGTGAAGGGACAAAGTGACTGGCTGTGAAAGTGATCTGGTTATGACAACTGTTATGCCATTAATCACTAGGGTTGGTTTGCCTGTCTAGATGGGTGTCCCTTCATGCTTCATGTATGTCCCTCCTGAACCTGTGCAATTGTTAGAGGATGATCACACTGGATAAAAGGAGCCTGTGACTGGTTTAGACATAAAATAAATACATAGTCCCCTGGTAAATGATGATAAACAGAGTGCAACATGGGAAGCAAACTTGTATGTGCCCACACACTTTATGAACAATTTGGCCCAGCACAAGAACCAGTGAGGTAGAATGGATAGAGTGCTGGACGAAAGCTCAAGAAACTTTGGTTCACGTCCCAGCATGGCCATAGAAAACTAACTGGCAGGTGGCAATGGTGAACTATTCCTTGAATATCTCATATACTTTGAAAACCCTATTAGGGTTTTGACAAATTAGGACAACTTGCTGGCACATAGCAAATTTTATGACACACCAATACAATAAATACAGCATATTGGTTTGGATCAAGACTCATTTGATTTCAATGGGTTTTCTCTAAGTATAGCTAAGTTTGAATCTAATGCATTATTTGTGTCTGACAAGCTTTGTGAGGAAACCATACTTACACATGTATTGCCACAGGTTGCTGCATTATAACAGGTCAGGCTTGCCTGTCTAGTTGTACATTGTCTACCACAACTATCAGCAGCTCTGATCTCAGGACCCTAGGTGGACTTCATTGCATCTCCTGCCGCCTAGAATATTTAAACTTAGTGAAGACTTTAGGAATTCGTCCTGTGATCTTTTGCATATAAAATGCATACTCCACACAAGGAGTTGTGTTCATTCTGCCAGACATACACCCATAAGTTGCCCAACAACCAAATAAATGTTGTGTGTATATGAAATATTTACCAGCCTTTTGATGCTCACCATTCAGCCTTTTTCAAACAGTCCCCATCCAGATATTTTGTCCTATACTATCTTTAAGCCACAGACATCATGGCCAATGGGGGTTATGTTTTTCAACGTTTGGAGTGATAAGGCTGGGGAAGACTATTTTGAATAGCTCTAAGTGGAAAGGGCAATTCCAGAAGCAGCGTATCTCGAAAGAGCAGATGTTGGCAAGAAACACAAGGAAGGGCTCTTGTCTTTATTTCATATTCTTAAGTTTTCTGAAGGTAAGTGGTTGGCCACACTTGGTATTGGAAAAGGAAGGTAGATAAATCCTTTCAGCTGCATCCAGTGGCATTATACCAGTAGCACAAAGCTTCTGCCACTTTTAGCATCCCTACTTCCATCCTTGCACAAGTGTAAAATCCAGTAGTTAATGCATTTGCACAAGCCACTCCACAAACTGTTCCATATGTTGTACAAGACCGTTCACAAATTGTTACGACTCTTATTAGGGGTTTTTTTTGCTTGCACTTATTGTTCTTCAGTTGCCTGAAATATAACATCTGCCAAATGTTAGTTGCATTCCTTGCTCTGAATCAGCAGATATCATGCGGCTATCTTAGAAGCTGCACCTTTGTTTTGGGTCCTGGGAGAGGGGAAAAGGTGTAAATGAAGGAAGAATTTGATCACTGATATCAGTGAACAGTCTTTTCTGTGTGTTCATGTTCCTGCATATGAAACCTAACTAGTTCATCTTGCTGTACACATTGTAATATCAAATGTGACTTGAAACTGAATAGTTTAGCTTTAGCTTTGTAAAGAGACTATATCAATTCAATGAATTGTTATACATGTTTACTTTTCATTCCTCAATACAGATGAAGCCAAGCATTTTGATGACCACATTTGAACTTTGCAACAATGTGTCAAGCAACAACAGACTTCTTTTTGTCTTTTTAACACTTTAAAGCCATATAGGAAATATATGCACAGTGCTTAAAAAGCGTTAATAGGTAAACACTGCTCTTCTGTAGCAAATTAAAGTCATCACACATATAGAGGTGTAAGCTCTCAGCATGCTAGAGAGGGCTATTTTTTCATCTCCAAGATGGCACTGCCTGGCCCACGACGCTTCGCACTGCAGATGTTGCAGAAGTGTGCTGAAGCCTCCTGGAAAATAAACAAATAGTAATCCTTTATTCACCATCAATTTATTTGTATTTTAGCAGCTGCGCACAAAACCAAATGAAAGATCGTTAATTTGAGAAGTTATTAAAAAACCACTCTTAGGTAACACAAGATTTCTATAATAGAAGAATGTATTATCAACTCAATTCCAAGTTATAGCAATCTTTCCCAGGGCTTCCTAGGTATAAAGTGCTTAGAAGTGTTATACCAGTGCCTTCTTCTGAGATGCTCCAGGACCATGAACTATGCCCAAGGCTACACGGTGGCAAGGCATAACACTTCATTAGTCGTACAGTGCTGCCTCGCTTGATGACATTAATTCGTTCCAGCGAAATCGCTGTCGAGCGAAAACGTTGTCAAACGAAATAAAAAACCCATTGAAATGCACTGAAAACCGTTCAATGTGTTCCAATGGGCTGAATACCTGCTTGTCCAGCGAAGATCCTCCATACGGTGGCCATTTTCGGTGCCTGTAAAGCGAGGAATCAGTCCTAGAAAACAGCCATTTTCTTCAGCTGGCGGCCATTTTGAAACCCGACAATCAGTTGTTTGCTGATCGTCGTAAAGCGAAAATCAGTTCCCGAAGCAGGGAACTGATCATCGCACAGTGAAAAAACCCCACTTAAAACATTGTTTTGCGATTGCAAAAGCGATCATAAAATCATCAACATAAAGCGGATTCGTCGTAGAGCGGAATAATCGTCCAGCGGGGCACGATTATATATGCTTGTGGTATTGATCGGCTCCTTTTGTGGAAGACACGTGCGGGGGGGGGGGTTGAAATCTGAACCCCTGACCCCAGGCTCCACAGTCTGGGCCTCAAAACCACTGAATTGTACTGGCTCATCCTATATTAGAAGCAGAGGCCTAAATTCAATTATTAGTCCCACCTGGAGTATACCCATTGAATCACTGGGACTTTGGTAAGTTAATCATTATAGAGGATCCCCTCTCTATATATACTGAAGTTTATATCTTCACTTATTGTCTGTCTTAAGGTAGATAAGAGAGATAAATAAGGTGAGGCGCTCACCGCACATCCAATTTCTTTGGATTAAATCGGGCAAAGAGACAGCGTTTACCTTTACACTGCTGCTTAAACTCTGCCAAACTAAGAATTAACTTCACAATCATGTTTTTGGTTAAAAACAGACTTGTTTACTTTAGTGACACTATACAAACCATATATCATAGCACTGGCCAGTGGGATATGCGGGTATAATATCTTGTGACAGCTCTCTGTAAAATAAAGGCTGAAATCCTAATGCTTTGTTATGCAGGTGGAAGGCAAAAGATATAACAATCACTCATTTCTAGTCAGCAATTTAAAAAATCCCCAATGGGATTCTCAAACATACAGCAAGCCAGCATGCACATGTACTCCTGAGAACTGCAGTAGTGGCTCATTAGCTGCAAGCTAAAAGTGAACAAATTATGTCTTTTGCCTTCCACTGACAAAGCAACAAGATTTCAGCCAGAAAGCAGGGTTCAAAAGACTTTTTTTAAAAAAAGAGTTTTAATAAAAATCAAGCAGAAAGGAATAAAAAGTTATCAGGTAAAAATAAAGTATAAGACCAATGTCATAAGCGTTATAATGCTACACATACATTTCCTGCTCCTAGTATATTGGTATTAATATACTTGCTCAATTTACATGTTCTGTGACCATGAAATCACACTATTCACAGCCTCTTCATGAACAATCTACATGAATTCTAACCCACAACTGTATTTAACATCAGTTATCCACATCTCTTAACTAATTCCCTCACAGTTCCGACTCTTTTACTCACGCACCCTTATATACAAAACATAACCAATTCAGCTAGGGACCATACAGACCAGTCAGTTCTCAGTTCCATTCATAAACATTCTTTAACTCTTCTCAACTGTTCTAGCTGCCACTCCTGGCGTGCATCCCCCTACAATTGCCAATCAATATGTCACTTTCCATGCAAGCCAATACAAACCTATAAACCACACACACACATACACACACACACAAACCAAGCTACACTGTCATATTACAATAATATTGTTTGAATATGACACTCCCATGCTTTTTAATAAAGAGCGTTTGAAATTCCTTTCAGTTTTAAAAGCAGTTTGTCGTGAGCATGGTGGCTACTGTTTAGGCAGGGCAAAGATCTCTTCGGCCTAAGGAACGTAACTGCTTAGTTTAGAAAAGATGTACAAAAGATCTATGCAACATACAAAAAGAAGCTTAGATGCTGGGAAACCACTCACTACAGAGTGTGGTATTGATTTTTTTTTTGACATGAGAATTTAGTGGAGGGGGAGAAAAAGCAATTTTGTGGGAAATCTCTATTTGATGTGTGTGCAAAATGAATTTCCCTTATTCACAAGGTGATTAACCCTTGCTTACAATTACCTGTGCTGGAAGAGGCAGAAAAGGTCTTTATTAGGATTCAGGAAGGGCAGTAAGAAATCGCTGCTGTTTAGTAGCTGGAAGATTCTCATATTTCCCCCATTTGTTCAATAAATCCAGAAAGCCCCAGGTTCAATCCCCAACCTCTCCAGGTAAGGTTTAGAAGAAAATCTTGCCTGAAACTGCAGACCACCACTGCCACATAAATGTCACCACTACTGGGCTAGATGGACCAACACTCTGCCTCAGCATTAAGGTAGATTCCTAGTGAGGCAGGTTTGAGAAGATAACCTACAACTTGTATACTAACTACTGGAAAGGGGGGGGAGAGCTTATTCCATAGAATACTCTTGTTTCCTTGATCCAGGGGTGGGCAAAATGTGGCCCATGGCAGCCTAGGTAAAAATAAATAAATATATTTTTTGCACTCTTCAGAATTTCCACCTGACCATTTTTTTAAAAAAAAATTTCAATAAATGCTCAGAACATCTCCTTGTGCCTTCTGGGAAATGGAAGACAATTCTGCCACATTTTGAGCGCCCCACCACTACTGGGCCATTGATAGCCCTCCAAATTTTAATTAAAACAAAAAAGCTTGGCCACTAGAGGGTGCCAGGGGACTTTTTAAAGCAGAAGTGCAATATTTTTTTCGGTTAACAAAAGCCCACTGTACCAACTTTTACAGTGCATAACTACTGCACTAATTTAAAAATATGCAAAAAAGTGACTCAGGATACTAACAAATTTGAGATTGCTACCTTTGCCTTAACCAATCAAATACTGAATTTCATTGTGTGTTCCGATATTATACCATATGCACTAACGTGACTGCTGCTGTAATAAATAGGATGTAGTGCTTACTTCCTGAAAAAAAAATCAAGTTTGACATTTGTCATTTAATAACATACATGCTACTTTCAATTGTTTGGGTGACTAAAAAGTACACTTTCTTGCTAATAGAAATAGTTTTTAAAACCTGTGGTGCTTGAAGGTGACAGTAGGGTGTATAAGCTCAATACTGTACTTTCATACATGTAAGCAAAATTACTATAATTATTTTATAATCCTCAATAAACACATGCTCTTCTCAGCAGATGGTAAAATAACTTATTTGTCCTTTTGTCTTTGACCATGGCAATTTTTAGAATCTACAGAGATTAAGTTGGTTACTTACTGTGCTGGGTTCAAGAAAACACTCTTTATGGAACATATGCCTGCAGTGAAACACTGTTATATTAAAAGATTTAGATGCATCTGGGAAGAGAAAGAAAAATACACTAGGCATTAAGAAAATACATGAGCTATAGGTTAAAGAAAACTCCAAGATGGAAAAAGCACTTGGGTCAATAGATGGTACCTTATTAAACAGCAGATACCTAAGGATGTGCTCAAATTACATACAAGACCCGTTGAGACGTGTTTGTGTGTGTGTATTTAATAATTTTTGATGCATTCACAAAAGTTTCTGCCAAACCACCACGCACATTTTAAAATAATGTTCTCAGCATCTCTTGCAGCAGCTTTTTTCTTGTTTTTGATTCCATTCTGTAACTGGCTTCTCCTGTGAGTTATTCCAAAATAAGTCTATTCGAAAAAAGATATCTAGCATGATTTTTCTTGCCCCATAACAGCTTTTTTTCAGGCATTTAGTAAATGGGCTAAGCCTAACTGGGGAGCAGAGGGAACAGGATAGCCCCACCCTCCTCTGCTTTATGTGGGGAGCGAAATCTGATCAGAAGTATAGTCTCTACCCATGAAACATTTCTACGCAATCAAGGAGCCCTGAATTTTCAGGATTTCCAATAGCACAGAAAACCCCCATAGGAAGGCAGCACTTCCTATTCAGATTTAGCTCTTTACATGGGACAACAAGAATGGATTGGAGCGGGACTAGCCAAATGTATGAACTTCTTTGGTCATAGGTTAGTATTAATCCTTCTAATGAACATCAGAATTTGGCTTATTTCTTCTAGAGAACCTGGGAGGGATGACATATAGACCACATTCATAAATGACCACAGTAAATGGCAGAGATAGAGGATGACACCTATCACCTGATTACTGGGCATCTCCTGCAGAACCATGTTTCTTACCCTGGCATACGACGTATTGTGGCTCATGCCACATTAATGAGATAGCTTGTGTAGGGTCACACAAATCACTGAAGGGGAAAAGTTGCACCAGAAGTCTGGATCCCTAGAAGGCTGTACAAGAGCACCCACTGCCATGGCCACCCACCAGCAGGTACTCTCTTCTGCTGATGCTGCTCTCTTTGGGAGGAGAAAGAAGGCAGAGCCAGTTCTGGACTATCTAGCTGAGTAAGTAAGTAGATCCCAACCCTATGGCTCCTAATTGTATTTAAACATGATTGCTACATTACTAAAGAAGACTTGATTAACTACTTATTTATTTCAGCTGCTACATTTTTTGTCTTTTTTATATCACTGCACAGACAAATTTTTACTTATACTACAATATGTGCATCCAGCCGGTGGCTTTATTTTATCGGAATTGTTTGCTGTGTTTTGAAATCTGTTATAACTTGGAATCTTTTTCAGAATGTGAGTTTGGGTTGGATCCAGATTTCATTGGGCTGCAAAGAAGAGACTTCTGTATTCATCTTTTTCCCTACAATAACCTTTCCATGACCTCCAGAAATACTGCATAAAAAGTTGGTGTGCCCAGGCAAATGGGGTAGGGGGTGATATTGTGAGACTGAGGGCAGAAGGGAAATCCTTTTGAATTGACAGAGGCAATTTGCCTGAAGAAGAAAACTTTGCTGCTGATCTCGGTGATCCAACATGTGATCTGTCCCACTCACAGAACAAGATCCACTCTGGGCCAGGGAGGCTGTGAATTGAAGGTCTCAGACACCAGTCACCTTCTCATGGTCATGGTCACATCACCAGATGTAAAAATGTCATCTTGTCATGGTCAGATCTCCAGATGCACAAAATGCCTGCTCACCACAGCTGCTCCTTCTCACGGGGAGAGTGTACTGGTGAAAATGGTTCATGTGCAGAGACTTCTCATGCCTGATGGGTTTCGGGCGTCTTGGGAGGGTCTCTGACTGACCTGGCTGGTGAGCCTGTCAAAGCTCAGATCAACAGGTGGTACATCAAAATGGTCTGGGTGGCTGACCTGCTGACTCCCAAATGCTCACTCTGTTCCAGAGCCCATGCCTCTGTCTAGTTCACAGAGGAGCTTTGGGTTATGAAGTTTTATTGAAGACAGTTAGAGCTGTCGGATGATGGCAGAGCAGCTTTAGGCATTTCTGGAGGAAACAGATTGCCTTGATCCATTCCAGTCAGGGTTTAGGCCATGGCATGGCACTGAGATAATACTGGTCATGTTGCATAATGGATTACCTTTAAAAGGAAGACGATAGCAGAGACCTGATCCTGTTAGTTTTCCTTGATCTCCCAGCAGTTTTTGATACCACCAACCACGGTATCCTCCTGGACAGGCTATAGGCACTGGAGATCAGAGGACTGGCTCTCAGCTGGTCTCAATCCTTTTTCAATGGCCATGTCCAGTGAGTCTAACTTGGAGAGTTGTTATTGTCCCTGTGAACCCTCCCTTGTGGGGTTCCTCGGGGGCTGTCTATCTCCCCAGTGCTTAACATCTATGTAAGGCAGTTGGGAGAGGTCATCCAAAGTTTTGGAGTATGTTGTCACCAGTATGCTGATAATATGCAACTCTATTTCTCCTTCACATCTTCTGCAATGGATGCTGTCCAGGTCCTGGAATGCTGCCTAGCTTCGATACTAGAATGGACCAGGGCAAATAGGCTGAACCTGAACAAGATGGAGGTCTTGTTGGCTGCACGGTCCCTGGACAGGTTGGAGGGTTATATCCCCAAGTTGGATGGAATTACTCTTTCTCTTGGGTATGACCCTAGACTTGGGCCTCTCTTGGTAATAGCAAATAGTGGCAGTGGCAAGGTCAGCCTTCAATCAGTTTCAGCTGACTGCCCACCCAGTTACGCCCCCACCTCAATGGAGGGTCCTTGAAAAAACTAGTCCAAAGGGGAAAGGAGGACAGCCATTGTGAGCATATCAAGTGACAGACACCACCCATTCATTCAGAGTACCCAAAACAGCTGCCAGCCAGGAACTTGCCCTCTGATGTGTGTCTGAGTGCACCAGAAAATATCTTACCTGTAGGCAGTATAGGGGCAAGGCATGTTTCACAGATATTCTCCTCTGTAATGAAAAGGAACAGTTAGTCATTGCTGAGGGAATGTTTTGTTTATCTGTCTCAGGCAGAAGCACTGTTAAATGCAGACAGTCTTCAGAGCATGAGACACAGCTCTTGACATGAAAGCACAATAACTGCTGCTCTATGATGATATAAAACTTCATTGGTTACTGCAAAATGCCTGACAGAAAATATTCTGTTGGGCAAATAGTGAGACCGAGAAAACATTACAACAATTATTAAGGGCATTTTATCAAAGAGCCATTTAACAGCTTGTGGTCAATTTTTAAAAGTGATTTGCAAAGATCTGTTGACTGAACATACCATCCACAAGGACCCCTTTCATCTGTGTTCGATGCATCTTTTTCAACAAGGAGAGTGAGTCAGCAACAAGAATCTTCTTGCACCCCTCCCGAAGCAGAATCTAAAACATAAAAGAACGCAAATCATGTTTCAAATGGCTTTTCACTTTAAACTTGGGAGATGCTCAAAATACACATTTTAAAATTATATTATTCAAAAATATTCAAAATATCAGGCACAGCCAATCAAAATTATAAAAACATTGACTGGCATTATATAACAGATACAAGTTTTAACCCAAAGCCCTTAAGTATCTGTTAAATATTGACACAGTATGTATGTTGTTCCTAATATTGCCGGGTTTGTAGCTTTGATGATGGTGATGATGATTCCTTAGGGTCCATCCCACTACTATTGAGTAATGACACCCTGCAGATTCAAAGAGCAGCACTTACATTTTAATAATTGCAAGTGCCTCCAACCCTGCTGAGATGGATGGAGACATACTACCAATTAGGGTAATCCTTTTAAACAAACTGATGGCCTCCACCAAGACCTTTTGACTGTTACTTTATGACACGTTTTCAGGTGCTATTCTTGATCACATAATTTATCAGCAAACTTGTGTAGTCATGGTATTAGTAAAAAGGTTTCCTTGGTAATCAGATGCAGTCAAAAAGACAGGTAACTTGGACCAAACAGAGAATACAGTCACAACAATGTGATGTCTTTCAAAACAGTAATTTTTTGCCTTGTTAACCACTGTCTGATTCATTTAAGCAAGCTTTAAAAACAACATTACTTTCTAAGTGATTAATTTAATTACATTTAAATAAATCTACACATACTGACACTGACAGTAATATTCTTAAACCTCATTCCTATTTCATAAGCCATTTTATGAAGGCTAAGGTCTAAATGGCAAAACAACTTAATAAAATTACTAAAATCACAGTACAGATACTAATTTTTAGAATAAATGGCTTTTATGTCCTCCATATCAAAACATCTCTTAGCCTTACTCAGATAAAGCTTTAGTTAATTAATCTACTGAATACCAGGTCAGCCTCATACATGTCTACTCAGGAGTCAGCAACATTTAATTTAGTGTGATTTCCATCTATGACGGACAGGTCAAGAACCAGTCCTGTCCATCACAATGGAACCCTGATTCAGGAGCCAATGGTTGTACAGAAGAGGCAGAACTAAGGATATATCAGGGAAATGGAAGACAGTTAGGTATCAGTTAGAGTCAGTGTTAGAGTTTCAGTTAGGGATGAGTTAGGGACTTCAGTTAGAGAGAAGCAGTTTAGGTAGTTAGGACCAGCCTGGTGTTAGAAAAGAATAGAAAGATAGAGAACAAGATAAGAAATGAATAAATACCTTGATAAAAATTATTTTACCTAAGCAAATATGAATGTTACCAAAGCACAATTTCTTGAATGAATAAAATAAGACCATCCATGATTCACTTTACATGATTTATTGATAAACACTTAAATAAACATTTTTTTATTGAATAAGACTGATTGAAGAGTCATATTTAATAGAGTGGGGAATATATCCTCCGGTGGCAGCGGAAAAAGGTTGAAAAATAAATGTCATACCCGAAAGTGATCCTGGGTTGTGTGGAAGAACACAGGGGGACTGGGTGTGTGTGACACCATCTAACTAGAATACCAACAATGTACATAACCTGTGAAGGTGAAGACATCTCAGTGAAGATGTCTGTGGGCACTTATGTGTTCACATGGAATTTTGAAGGGCTATTTATGTGTGTGCCATTCCAATACAATCTCAGAGAGGGAGATGAGCTGTCCAAGTATAGGAATGTGAAATATAGGCTTATTTTTAATTACCAATTCAATTTGGATGGATCTACAAATTCACAGCTTCTGCATCTACAACAGATTGATGTAGATTTTTAATTTCATTTTAGATTTTCATGAAATTGCATGTCTGAAGGATTCATGAAATAATGAAGTTTAGACATCTAGGATTTATGCACACATCCAGTAATCCATATACACATGCAGAGAGAGAGAGAGAGAGAGAGAGAGAGAGAGAGAATATACATACTCCAAATCAATATTAGGTCAAAAGCTTTCAGATTTTTTGAGGATTTCTATCTATTATGTTCCTTTTCATAAATAGAATGCATCAAAGGGCTCAGCCCAATGACATTAAATGTAATATAAAAACAGTGATGACGTTTGCAACTAAGGAGGTAGCTCTTCTATAAAATTCCAGTTAAATTGTGGAACAAACAGCAATTATAATTGGAAAGTTGCACACTCATCTTTAAAGCAGTCTATTATAAATAATAATGCATTTCAATCAATCCTGGACATCTGGAATTTTAAATCAGTTTCTTTTTAATCAAGTTGATAATGTTGTCAAATTTCAAATATATAACAGTGGGGAGAGTATTTGACTTGGATATAAAGACGAAATCAATTGCTGCTTTTGGCCATAAACCAAAACCACACATTCACAAGGCTTGTGCACATTCTGGTGCCCTCTCATGTCCTGAAACAACTGTATAGTGATAGAAACATTAACTTCTGCTTTAGATTAGCCGCAGATTAGCATTGTCATTCAGACCCTTAACTGCACATGACTTCACTTGAGGCATTAAAAACATGAAAAATAGCCATATCTAGAGGGGGACATTTCCTCTCTTTCCCCTCTGTAATAAGAAGTTATGGAAACAAGTCTTCTGTTGGTTAGTCATCTTGTCTAGTTTAACCCCTGGTAGACATAAATTATAGTTGTGTAAAGTATACAGCACAGCATTTTTTTTTATTCTGGTCCAATTGTTCCACCATAACTAATATATCATAGAAATCAACTTGTCCTTTAGAAAAAGAATGTGAAATCATTAATGAAAAATTAGGCCAGCAGAAAAAAAAAGTCATTGCACAAACTTCCAGAATCAAGCCATTCAAAGCAAAATGACGAGGGTCTAGTTTGTCTAGTCATTCTTTCTCTCCCCACACCAGTCTTTCTGACTGCAGAAGGCAAATAACTATTGTACAGAACTACTAAATACAGTAAGTAACACTCCTATGTTTATATGTCCTTACTTTTTGTACTATATTGATTGCTTACTCCCTTAACTCCCATTGCGTTCTCTTGCATCAGATAACAGGACCCTTTATGAGGATTCATAACATATAACATTCAGATTTATTACATATAAAGACACTTTTAATCCTTAATTCTTCCAAGTTATGCAATGTGCCTAGTATCGGTGCACAAGGTTGAAGGATGGGCACAGCAGAGAAGTTGAAGTGGCTGCTTTTTCCTGGAAGCCAAGCATCAAATGCTTTGCTTTATCCAGGTCCAAAAGATACAAGATATCCATACGAGTAACAACAACCAGATCTCATGAGGAAATAGTCACAAGTCTCCCGCATTCTTCACAGAAAAAAAATCAAGGCTACTGAACAAATAAGCATAAGTGCCATCTTGTGCTCAGCAAGATATGACACACCCCCTAGGGACCATTTGGTCAAGTATTGCAATCTTATTAAAATAGGGAGCATCTTTGTTTTTAATTTCAGATACCAATGACAGAAAACGAAAAGCAAAATGCCCAAGGTCAAAGGGTGGCTCCTCAGATAAAGTTTTGTTATCATATGCAAAAAATGGCCTACGTACATTGTCTGTGACCTAACTTAAAAAATGCACAGACATTCTGAGTAGGAAAGCCATAAAACCCTTCCCTTTATGAAAACATTAAAAAATAATGTTGAACTTGTGAATTTTTACTTATCCAGTTGTTGCAAAGTCTTTACAACATACAATTTAAGTGACATGTTGAAATCACAAAAGGTGATTTTTGTACCTTCTTGCTGGGCATCAATTATCTGCTCTGGGGATTAATCTGAAGAGGCTTGTCCTTTACGCAGGCATAATATATTCAAGACATTTATGGTACTGCATTTTAAGAAAGCAGATGACGAGATATGTGATTCAGTGTGATTCTATTGCCTAACCCACAGACCTAAACCTGTGCCAATCCCATTCCTGAGAATTTAGGGACCAATGTGATGATGTGATCAGGCATATCTAAAACCATTCCCAGGTTAACTAGAGCAACTGAGCTAAACTAGAGCAAGGGCTTACATTGCAGACTGAACTGCAGTGGACAGAAGATGGTGTTCTGTTGAGCAGAAAAGGTTTATGGTTAGGCCTTGTAATACCAGGTCTGCATTAAAGGATTTTCTTCTAGGATTTATCATATTCTTGAAGACTTATTATCTGGCAATGTGTTTGAATAGAAAACATGTACCGTACGGGAAAGGAATCTTAAAATTAAGATTCCCAACACTGATTCACCCAGAATTGTATATATGGGGATGCGTGAAATCAGTATTATCAAGTGCATGTGACACAGCATTAAGGTTGTCAATCGACAGATGTTCATCTGCACTCATTCCACTAAAACTAACCTATATTAACAAGGGCTTAATCCTCAATCTTGGTGGGTTAAGGATTGGGTTTGCATGAGCACATGTGGTTGCTGGTCATAACTGATTGTTTTTCCTTTCTGGGAAATAGTATTCAGCAAAATATCACAATAAATGTTTTTTCTGTCCAGTGCTATACCTGTTGTCCTTGTTCATAAATACTAATTCACATTTACTGCATAAAGATTTAATTATCTTTTTTGTTGTTGTGTCTTTGACCACATAAATTGAAATTTGTTCTGAACTAGAAATCACCTCATACTCTAGAAAAAAGTTCCCACAGAAAACTGGAAAGCTAGAACCTGGTCTCTTGCACTAAGTGAAGAACAAACTTTGCAGACAAGGAATGAGGAAAAACAGAATAAATGTTATTCAATTTGGCTCCTATTTATTAATTACACTTATAATACCAGGTCACAACAATTTCTTAGACAACCTCTAACGTAAGAGAGGTTGCACTTCCACAAATCTCTAAATCTCTTTGAACTACAGTATGAAATGTCATTTCCTTGCTCCCTGCTGTTTATTGTGTCTCCTGATTTTTTAAAGAAATCTGTTATTTGTTCTTGGTAAATATATCATCATCATCATCATCATCATCATCATCATCATCATCATCATCATCATCATCATCATCATCATCAGG